CAACAGCAGCAACAGCAACAGCAAAAGCCGCAGCTGCAGCTACACCTACAACAACAACTCCTGCTGCTACTACTACTGTTACTACCACGACGACTTTTACTCCTGCTGCTGCTGTTGCTGCTGCTGCTGCAACAACAACAACTACTACTACTACTACTACTACTAGTACTAGTACTACTACTACTACTACTACTACTACTACTACTACTACTCCTGCTGCTACTACTACTACCACTACCACCACTACTACTGCTACTGATTACTGCTACCAGAACTTCGAGAACTACGATGTTTCACTTGTTGAAACTCTACTAGTGCGTTATCCCGTGCTTTGGATGCAATCCGTGCAGACAGTACATGTCCTTGAGGAAGCTTGGACCATCTGTTCGTAAAACTCCCAGCTGCTTGAACAGGCCCTCCACCTCGGGTGTGCCGACTTCTTGTCGAAGAAAGTCTGCGAGCGGCTTCTGCATACAAGTTACATCCGAAGCTTTAGCCTCAAACACGAAGGTGCCACACAGCCCCAAGTCACTTTCGCATGCATCATGTGCCGAAATCGTAGGTTGAGTCCCTCAGCATAGCCCTGCAGAGTTTTCGCCATGGCTTCGTCCACCATGTACCTGTTGTAAGGCATTGATCCACAAGTGGCACTACTATACTACTAGCAGCAGTTCTGCGAATAAGAGTATCCCCCCGGATAGCCCCCGCATAGTAAAACCCCAAAGAGCTACTCTAATCATCCATAGATTTGCGGGCTCGAGGCGTCTTCATAGGGATGTGGTCAAGTTTAGGGTGTAGCATTTGGGGGATCCCAGGTTGAGGCAAAATAGCTGATGATGTAAGGTTTCGGGATGTCTTCGGGTTCTTATAGGGCATCCAAGGTACACTTTGTCTGCTGCTGAATGCAACTTGCCGCTCTCTGTCGGGATTGCCGGCAGCCTGCGGAGATTTTGCATCAGCGCCGGCTGGGCCTGGATTGCTCAGAGCTGTCGGGTTTAAGGGTTCAGGGCTTAATGCTTAGATCGTGCGACCAACTCGCATATACACCATATAGATGAAAATGAAAATTCACATGAGACACACGGCCGTGTCTCCGCTCTCATGCGGCCGAGCTGTGCATGCAGCGACAGTCTGAGCTGATAGAATCTAGTAGACATGCTCGAAATCACTTCGCCCTCTTACGCCGGTCTCTGCCGGTAGTTTCAGGCATTGTTCCACTGGAATCCTGTTTCTGAGTTTGGGGTCCGGCCTGTGGCCTACTGTTTGCCATCGTGTACCGAGTTATGAGCGTGTTGCGTAGTAGGGAGCGGATGGGATACGTTGAAGCCTAGTACCCGCGGAGGGATCCACCACCACGCTCCAGACCTGGCACACCGTCTCCTCAAGAGGTATCCAGGATGCCATGATCCTCTGCTCGTTTACTCCCTTTTGCAGGAGAAGGCCAGCTCGTGATGAAGACCCTAAACCCTACAAAGCCCTTTAGGGTTTAGGTCTTGCCTTATGCCGGCCTTCCTGATAATTGCCGTTGCTAGCAAGGTGCACGTGTCCTGGTGGGGCCTCCCTCACTCACTCACTCACTCACTCACTCACTCACTCACTCACTCAAGCTACGCGACTCTGTCTGGCGGAAACTACGACGTGAGCTTGTTACTCATACTGCGTACTACGTCTTTAACCGACCGGGTCGCAACGTTTGACGCCGCGACATGGAAGAGCAAGTGGAGCAAACCTCGGTTGCCCATGTCCGCCCAGCACCCTCCAAGCTGACACCATGAATCTAAACCTGCTCTTCGCGCAACCCCGAGACGAGGCCGGAGGACCCTATATCAGCCCCGTAGAACCACAAGCACCCTCAACACCCAAACCAAAAAACCCTAAATGCCCTGAAACCCACTCAAACACACCCGGAAAACCATGAAGCAACTTCAAAACCCAAACCAAGAATCCCTAAATACCCTGAAAACCACTCAAACACAACCTGAAAACCATCAAACAACTTCGATTCCAATACTGATATGCAAGCTGCCAAGGTCGGCATCGGATCTCGTCCTCGCAGGTTTATCCTGCCAGAGCGCTCGATACCCCCTTAACTCGTAGTGTGAAGCCCCCCCTCCAATTTTAAGGGGTATTGGGTAACCCTTCTCTACACCTGGGCTATGCATATGCCACGAACCATAGGAGCGGGTAGGGGGGAAGGCTGTAGGGGGCCTTTATACTCGGAATAAGAAGAAGTACAGGGGGGGGGCTCTGCGTCCTTGTCCTCGCGGGAAAGTCGGCTCAAGCCTCGGATGTCTTTGGGAGAAGTGAAAATGAAAAGACAAAAACAAAATTACATGTGTTTATACATATATATATATATATATGTGAAATCACATCATAGTATGTCAAATTATATCATATCACAGCATACATCATCATATCATATCCTTTCATGTTGAAGTATGGGCTTAGGGTTTAAGTTCAGGGCTTAGGAGTTGCTGCCTTTTGAAGGCTTCGGGTTTAGGGGTGCAAGGTTTAGGGGGAAAGTCTGATAATTTAGGGTTTGTGGTCGCAGTTTAGGGTTTAGGGTTCGGAGAGCTTAGGGTTTACGATTGAAGGCTGTAAAGCATAACTTTTTTTTGTGTTTACGTATTCATCTATCGCAGTGCTGCAGGACTTAAGGGTTTTGGCACTTCAGCTTGGCACGGCTCTGATGTGTTTAGGACTTTGGGTGTTGTGCATTTGGCTGCAGTCAGACGGCTGTGGAGATCCGGACCAAACCTTTTTCTTAGCGGATGGGATATCTTGTGGGGATCTTCTGGCTTTGGCGGGTGGCTCCTCGGTAATTCAAAAACCGTTCAAAATAATGCAGAATAATTCACAATCATTCAGAAACATTCTAGAAACGTCTAAATAACTCGAAACAATTTCGAATCATTTCGAATCATTGCAAAAACCCAGAAATACCTCAACGACTCGACTTCTGTTTTTGAGAACACCTTTGCACACATGTGCCTGGGTGTGCATGTCTGCATATGATTTGACTCCATGGGCCAGGCCGGCTCGAGTTTTTTTGAGGTGCCAGTAGGTGGCTAGAGCCATGGGCAAATTGAAGCATAAACGAATCAAGGGCTTGCCAGAGCATCTGGGTTGCAAGAGTCTTTGTTGCCGATCATGACGTGAAGGTTTATTGTGACTTCGAGTTTGGGGCAGCAGCCAAGGCGCTTGGCAAACAAGGGCAGCATTTTCTTCTGCAAAGAAGGCTTGAGGCAAACACACACACACGCAATCCGGATTTGAGGGGGTTTTAGTGTTGTCTTTTTGGATGTATTTGTTGTTGGTGGTGCTATTCGATGCTTTCGGAGTACTTGGTTTCTTTGTTTTTTTGTGGCATTTCCTGGTATTTTTTTTTAAAATCTTAACGGCTCAATCTTGCTTTTCGGGTGCCGCCAGTCCCGACACAGCGCTTGTTTTATGACTCTAAACCCTAAACCCTAAACCCTAAACCCTAAACCCTGATTGTTTTTTTTTGCCCAGGCTTGCTTAGCCTTGGCTTTCGGACTTCCGGACTTCCGGATTCCCCTAACCCCCCAGGTACCTACTAGGGTTTAGGGTTTAGGGTTTAGGGATAGGGTACTAGAGCCCCTAGTACCCTATATCGTAGGTACAGGGTTCCTTTCCAAACCTTCCACCCTGAACCCCGGCTTTCGGACTGCCGGCAGGCCCTGGGCTGGCATGCAGAAATGTTGGGGGTGTACGGGTTTAGGGTTTAGGGGTTTAGGGTTTAGGGTTTAGGGTTTAGGGTTTAGGGTTTAGGGTGTACGCTTTAGAATGCGGGGTGTAGAGTTTGGGAGTTTAGGCTTCAGGGTTCACTCCAAATCAGTCCGCAGCATTCCAAAAGATTCAGAATAGTTAACTCAAAGTTCAAAATCATTCGAATGACTTTCAACACAAAGGCCCATATATGATACCGTCTTAAGGAGATACGCTCTTTGTATGATTGAAACCGCCATGCAGCTCAGGGACACTCGAAAGCAATGCCGTCATTGAGGTCCGGTATGTGGAGAGCTGCAGCCAGCTGGCCACTCAAGGCTTCCGTCGGGATGTAACGCCTGCCTCGATTCAGCACTCCCTCCAGCCTTGGTCGCGCATCCTACCCCTAACCTGCTTGATCAAGTTACTTGAGAGGAGCGCAGCAATTGGCTTTAGCAAAGCAGCTGTCTCTAGAGATTTCCCACTGCTTGAAAGGAGCGTGCGGGACATGCAAGAGTTTAGGTTTGAGGCTTGGGACAAAAGGTTGGCAGACGGACAAGGCAAAAATAGGGGCGAAGTTACACGCAAAGCATCATAGGCCTAGGAGCTCTTTCTTGACCTCAGCGCTCAAGTGCGTATCAACGCCCTTTGGAAGCTCCGGGCGAACAACCTCTGTGGGCGAAACCAACTGGTAGCTGCCCTTGTCAAAAGCCAGCACGAAGTTCCGCTTCGAAAGAACCTGCGCATGGGCAGCATCTGAACGCCAAAGGACGTGAATCAACACATATTTTTTGGAAATATTGCGTTACCCTAAGCCCCAAATCATAACATTCCTTGACAAAACAAGAAGTCCCATTCCACACGGCACCTGCACAATGCTCCGGGGGGAGTCCACAAAGAAATCGGCAGTCTCGCCGGGAAGGGGAATCAGTGCGTAGATACGCTTGAACGCAATCCTCAGGACTCAGAGTTCACGTTCCAAAAGTTTCAGGCTTCGACTAGCAGTTGCCAGCATAGGTTTACTGGGTTCTTGTTAAGGGAGTTACCATAATAAAGAAACCACGTATTTACTCTAGATCCCCATTATGGGAACCTAAACTAATTCCTTAACAAGAACCCAGCTCAGGGTATAGAAGTCTAAGACTATTTGGGTTCCGGCTAAGACTTTGAGGGTTTGGGGTTGAGGTTTAATTAAGCTCAAGAGGATATAGGGTGTAGGGTTTAGGGGCTTAGGATATAAGTCAGAATCACCGCGACGCTCGCGATCACTGCTCTATCCCGAATTCTCCTCCGCAGACCCTTCATCTGCAAGTTCGCGAACTACGGTTGATGATATAAATCCTGCATTACCCATAATAGGGATATACCAATAAGGGATATACCATAATTCCCACAGCTTAGGGTCTTTAAGGTAATGCAGGATGTAGATCATCAACAGTAGGAACCCCCGAAGCAGCAATGATGTGGCGCTCTCTCGTAGAATACTGGGGCCTACAGACATGGTGTGGGTCTTGTGGTCTTTGTAGTCTGCTGTAGATGCCCTGATTATGAACTCTAGGGGTCCATGTTCTTGTTTAGCAGACCTAAAGTGCCCCAAACCCTGAACCCTAAGCCCTAACCCTGATCCCTAATAAGGATTGCTCTACGGCCAGGGTATGTGCTGTACAAGTACATGGGCCCCTAGTGGAATGGGTGAGTGAATCCCGCCCAACTAATGAGACACTAATATTTATTAATCGAACTTTGTTTTACAGTATCTTGCAACAGATACATGTATCTATATGTATGTATATATACATATATATATATATGTATGTATGTATGTCGTAGTTCTCAGAGTCATCAATAACTTCGCAAGTCGCCATGGAACAGGCCTCATCTTAGGTCTTTGTTCCCACATCGCAGCACCCTCCAAAGTGGGTCGCTTCCAAGTTTTCGAGCAACTGCGCCAAATAAGCCCTAAACCCTAAACCCTAAACCCTAATCCCTAAACCCTAAACCCTAAACCCTAAACCCAACACCCCCAAAAGCCGAAGCTCGGGCCTAGGTTTGAGGTTGTACAGCAGAGCGGGTAGCCTTAGGGAGTTCCTCGCTCTGGGATCGTCGCTGCTCCCCAGAGAGCCCAATACCCCTTAATTAAGGAATATAGGGTTTAGGGTTTATACCTTAAATCATAAAGAATAAGCCCCTTATAGTTTAAGGTATATTGCTTAATTAAGGGGTATTGGGCTCTCTGGGTCATGGGTTTCAGCCAGGACTCAGGCGTTCAGTGATGTCCGGCAACTTTAGGGCATTGGAAGCAAGAACCTCCGGGCACACCCGCCGCTAAGCCACCAGCACTTCAGGCATTTTTCGCAAATGGCAGATGGCATGCCGCTGCATTCCATCGGAATCGGAATTTGTGATGGTCATATCTTCACAACGATACTCGATGCACGAAACTGGTCGGTGAGTTCAGACCCGAGAAGGAGCACCAAGAGTAAGTCGGCACGGATGGTACTTCGGGCTCCGGCGTCGTTTATGTTTGAATGATGTTGAACTCAAGATTCCTCACCACGATCGGTAAGGGCGGCTGCCAAAGCTCAATCCCATCCTTGTGCAACTGCCTTTCAAGCACTTCAATACCTAAACCCTACACCCTAAACCCTAACAAGGAAACCCAGGAACATCTCCTAAACCCACGGACAGCATGCTCGCGGGAGTTTGGTCCAGGACTTCCACATCAGAGAGGAACAACCGAGCAGGGGCAGATGATTGATTATCCAAGCCTGCTTCAGATTTGTGGTTGGGGCTGCCCAGGCAGCGCCATAGTAGTACCATGAGCAGCAATGACAGTCGCAGCTAGTGGGTGGAAACCGTCGTGCAGAGTCCTACATGGACGTGTCCGGAGTTAGGTGCCCACTTTAAGTCCTAAAGAGCTAGACCCTGTAGAATGACGGAGGGAAGCTGAAACTTCGAGAAGCCCCCTGTAATAGGGGCCTCAATAAGTAATACGAGTACTCGGAAAAGGTCTTGGGGAATAGATTGTAGCGGAATCCTGAAGGAAGAGATTGAGGGCTGCATGTTACCAACTTCACGCCAGCGCCTCAATCAAGTTGCAGAAGACGTTGGGGAGCTCACGCCTGATTCATGGCTCAGGGATTTCGGGTTGTCAGGGAAGGGTTAATCCTAAACCCTAAACTTAAGATCTCCGGTTCCGGAAGATCCAAGATCCAGAAATGGGATTGAAATTCCGCAGGAGGAGCAAAACAAATGCGATGAAAAAAGCGACCCCTCCAAGGCTATGTAAAAAGAAAGCAAAAACAATGTAAACAACAAAGCAACAAAAAAAGCAATAACAATGTAACGAAAAAATGTGACAAGAATGTAATCCAAGCGGATAATCACCCAAACATATTGTAAAATGCGAAATAAATAAATGCAAATCACAAAGGTATCAAACCCAATCTATGTTTGGTCGCTTTGTGTTTGCTTTTTATGTGTTCTTTTGGTCAATATGAATAGTGATTCTTGTTGGCTCCTTGTTATGCTTTGTGTTTGATTTTCTTTTGGTCGCTTAGTGTTTGCTTTTTGGTGTGCTTTTTCTTTGCTTCGTGTTTCAAGAAGCCAAGCCACAGGGGCACGCGGATCGCTTTTTTGATTACATTGTCTCCGCTTTGTTTCTGCTTTTCGTTGTTCTTGGATCTTCCGGAACCCGGAGATCTTAAACCTAATTTCATAGGCTCAAAGGATGTAACGTGTCTTCAGGGGCTGAGCAGATTCAGATGGGGGCTAGCTGGGCGAAAGAAACAATGTATAAGCCGCATTTCAGCCATGGGATCCTTGAACTCGATGCCATAGGTTCCCCAGTACTTGGAGGTTCAGGGGACTTAGTAAGTAGGTTATAAGTAGAGTTATAAGTACCCTAACTGGAGTTACCCCAATTATAAGCCTACTTATAACCGACTTACTAAGTTCCCTGGGCCTCCAAGTATTCCCCTGCATAACCTGCATGACGAGTGCAGCCTTCTTCCTACTTGCAGCTTGTGTACTGAGATAACAAAATGGGCGGGGCATAAGGGGTACTACTGGGGCACATAGTACACATTGCACACCTGGCTGCTCGAAACTAGTTCATGGTTGAGGTAGTTTTAAATATTGAAATCTCTCATTCCTCATTGGGTTCATGTACCCATGGCCCATAAATATTTAAAATGTTGCCCAACTGTGACAAAGGAAAGGACTCCTGAGCCGCCAAGCGGCCTCAAGCATTGGTTCAGCTGGTTTTCCGCGAGGATGGCTTCTCGGGAGGATGGCACGGCCCAGTCTGCTTGCAAGATAAACCGAAACCTGAGTTCAACTTCCACTGGCTGCAGTTGCTTAGGGCGTACGGAGTCCCTTTTGGTCCTTGGCTTCTGGGCCTCGGGGGTTCAGAGGAAGGGCTTAGGATTGTGGCCTGCTCCTCGTCAAGGCTCATAGCTCGGTTCATGACTCCAGCTTTCACCCTGAACCCCTAAACCCTAAACCCTAAAGGGTGTAGCTTCAAGAATAATCCCTGACGCTGCAGCCCTGGACCTGGACGCCAAGAAAGCTGAAACATTCTGAGATGTGGTGGTCGTCATGGCTGAAGTCCTCTGAGTTTCGCTTCTAGTTTCTTCGAGGTGAGGTGCTGCTGGCTATTATTGTTGCCTGATTATTTCTACCAACAAACCCTAAGCCGTAGTGCCTGCACCGGAAACCCGAAACACCTACCAACACCTCAGAGAAGCCCATACGAGCGCAAGGGCAGCCATGCAAAGGCCGGGCGCTGTTCCATGACGTTCCTGGGCGAGGACTTTCCGTACTTTTGAATCGATCAACGGTTTCGACGTTACGGTTCAGGGCAGGGCGTATAGGGCTTAGGGATATGCGTTCCAGGTTGGCTATTCATGAGTTTGGCGACTTTCTGGAACATCACGGCATGCTACATGTTTGTACTAGGCAGGTACCATTTTCTTTAGACACTGGAAGTTGTGCATATTCGGCTCGGAGCTGCCACACGCAACGCTCTGCAAGTCCTGAACACTCTGGCTTGTTTTGCAGTTTCGAAAGGTTCGGCGAACGAGCATATCGCTACCAAGCATTCAGATCTGTAGTAGTAGTAGTAGTAGTAGTAGTAGAAGTAGAAGTGGTCGTCGTCGTAGTAGTAGCAGCAGGAGTAGACTCAGTCTTCAAACCACAAATCACATGAACGCTTTGAGATCCCTTCCAGGCCCCGCAACACTTGCAGCTAAAGCCTCTCGGTGGTCTGGCAGAACGCAATCTGCAAGTCAGTTGCCCTGACCGAACTTAGACTTTCCGTAGGTCGCAGAGATACTTAATGTAGGGGCCTTAATTTTTGGACTAGGGTTGTGGGGACCGCTACAGATTCCACAATCATAACAAGGAGCCCCCAAAACCCTATTCTAATTATTAAGGCCCTTATATTAAGCTCCAAGCCTTGAGGGTTTACGGAGTATATGGGTTTGGACAAACGGTCACATGCTGGGTTTTGCTACCAAGTTCCTAACATCGCTCTTGATTTCTGCTCGGGCAGTTGTCGGGGCGCACAATCGTAAGGGTGCTTCGGGCAAAACAAGTGTCGAGTTGCTGTTCAGGGGGCCTCTCGCCGCCACACTCCCAGGCTCACAAACGCGGCAATCAGAGTTACGAGCACATTCGGTCTTGTACTTCTCCCCACCTTCAAGGTTGAACACCGACACCCGTGGTACAAACCATAATGTAAGACCTTAATAATTAGAATAGGGTTTGGGGGTATATTATACTATAATTATAATGAGGAACCCCCAAAACCCTATTCTAATTATTAAGGTCCCTATATTACTCTGGTGAAGAAGTGCTTTCTTGCCCTGGCCTCTGGCCATCCCGTGCCAGTGCCTTTGGCAAGTTGACCGGCTTTCCTCAGCGACTCTGGCAGGCTCCCCTTTAGGCCTTAGGGCTTTAATGTTTTAGGGTTTAGGGCTTTAGAGTTTTTTCCCTCTCGCATGGCAGAGAACTATGCTCACAGGCGAGGTTGTCAAAGGAGACTTTAGCAGCGCACCTAATTCAAAGCATCACCAAGATTTCGACGCTGCACCTAATAGAGTTTTGGGGTTTAGGGTTTAGGGTTTTTGACACTCACACTCGGACAAGCCAGAGTTTAAGGGTTTAGGGTTCAGGCGTCCGGGAGGGTTGCCACAAGTCACATCAAGAAGAATGAGGGGATAGAAGGACAGGGATAAGGTTACCCAGATATTGCGGTGGGCCACCCTGATTTGGGGCTTTCCGAAAATAGGGGACCCCAATATAGTACTCTAAATAATAGGATCCTTATTATAAGGACCCCAAAATAAGGTACCCCTAATTTTGGGAAACTCCCATTTCTTGCCATGTCCGAAACCCTTAAAAAGTGTTAGGTGGGCAGACCTACACTTCACCCGCAGGTGTTGAATAGGAAACCCTGGAACTTGGAGGTTCCGGTTTAGGGTTTAGGGTTTAGGGTTTAGGGTTTAGGCTTTAGGGTTCAGGGATAAGTAGGGTTGTAAGGTTCCTAATATGGGTTCTAAGTATAGTTAGCCTACTTATAACCCTACTGAGAACTACCCATGAACCTCCACCAACCCAACATGAGATGTTGGCTCGCGAACCTCAACAAGTGTGCTGACGGGAGGTTGGAGTTGGGAAGCAAAGTTGATCGGAGCCCGACCACCGAAGCATGACTGTTGAGGGGAATTTCCCTTTCAGGGGGTCGGTTGCGCTACTTTATGTTTATGTTCTCTTGTGGTCCAGTGGTCTTCTCTAAGCCTTCCCTGGTTCTTTCCGAGTCCAGCCTTTGAACTTCGGGCCTTTGGGGTTCTGCATGTTGATGCTGATTCTGGGAGAAGCCCGAAGAGCTTAACACTGCATTTCCGCGAGGTCCGGTTCAGAGTTGCCACTTCTCTCCGGCAATATATAGCAGAAGCCCAGCAGTTGGAAACCCAAAAGCCTCCATGCACGAATCGTCCTTAATCCAATTTCCAACCTTTTTGGGTTTATTTACTCCATGTGCCTAAACCCCAAACCCTAAAGTGCAAACAAGGTGTCATAAGCCTGACATAAGCCTGACGGCTCAAGGACCCGAGGCACTTGTTGGTATAACCCGATGGTGCATGGGCAAATCCCTCTGCAGCCCTGCCTACAGGCTGATGCAGGGCGGAGTAGAAGAACAGCGAGGTTTCGGATTTCGGGTTTGGGTGAGGGCTTAAGGACCAAAAATAATCCTGGTGTCTGTGGACATGCCATTCTTGCGTTGACGTTGACGTCTTCTCCTTGGGCGTGCTGTCCTTGTTGAAGACGGTCTGAGCGCAAAGTTTCACCTGCCAGCAATGTTCAATTAAGCACTCCAGCAGTCCTTCGAGGAATCATACACAGGGGACCAGTCTAGACGGTGCTGATAGATTGATAGATTTCCGGGCAAACATGATCCTAAAGGTCTGAAGGACTTGGACTCTCGTCTCGCAAAGGGGTCATGCTACTCACTGATCGGTGTAAGGGAACATGGTGCGCCGTGCCATACCGTGACATTACTTTTCGCATCCTGAACAATTTGTTGCTAGATGTCCAAGTAGCATTGTCATTGGCCCCGTCGCTGGCAGACTCTTTGCGTATCACTCGCTCCACTTCGGATTGGCTGTCCACCACTCTGATCTCCTGCCAGCCCGGTCGAGGGTTAATATCGCACTCTGATTAAGAAACCCTGGGTCTTGATTACGGTTCAATATATAACACCCTAAGCCCTAAACCCTGAAACTATTTTGGGGGTTATAGGGCCAGGGGTTCTTCATCAGGTTCCTACATTAGGGCTAGGAACACTCAACTTTTGTAGATAGAGAGCACCGAAGCGTTGCTATGTAGTGGGGACTTCAAGGCTGGAGTATGTACAGGGTTTAGGGGTGAATGCACCGTTTGTCTCGGACAGATTGCACCGGATTCATCCGGCTCTTACCGAATTTTTGTCATTCCTTGTGTCCTCTATTTGGTTCTCCCGGTTCTTCCTCCCGTGTACTTACAACATAATGCCGGCTCCTAGCTGGACAAACGCCGCGGTACTCATGGTATTGAGCGGGGTCACGCAAGTGAATTGTAGGCACCTGAATCCTCCTAGAAGGTACCCTGTATCAAGATACCTCAGGGGCACTTATGAGTTTAGGCGTTAGAGTTCCGCAGCTCCGGATCGAGCAGCATTTAGTAAAGTTGTTTTTACGGTTTTGATATAACACCCACCCACCCAAAGAATCCCGTAACACTAAGAAACTTTTCAAGAAACCATATAGATCCATTCAACACTTTCTACTCAGCAATGACCTTTCTATTTAGCTCAACAGCTTCTATTCAACAATGACTTTTCTGTTTTAGGACTACTAGGCTACTATTTTACAGTTCGGACTATTATTTTCCGGTTAGCTTTTAATAATAGAACCCACTAGGCGTATCCGAAACTCCAAGCGCTGTCTCCAAAACCATCAGGTTCATATCACCAGACCTATAAATAGTAGGTTTCTCCGTTCCTACATAGCCTTCGTAAGCAGGCTTCTAAAATCCGAGGTTTCAGTATACTATACGCAGCCCCGTGCACCTGCACGGCGTGAGCTCGCTCGACATGACTCCTTGCCCAAACCCTAAAATCGGTAGAGAGCGCCCGCAGCTGTTCTCCAACATGGGAGTTTCCGGAAATTAGGGGGGTACCTTACTTTGGGGGTCCTTATAATAAGGATCCTATGAGGGTACTATCTTAAGGTCCCCTATTTTCGGAAACCCCCACATGCCTCCAGCTTCCGCAAGAAGAGCAAGAGCTCGGGTTTCAGATCCTGGCTACAACGACGTTCTACCTTGGGGACCAAATGACCCTGATAAGTAGGGGCCCTATATCCTTATACTATGAATCCCTAAAGGGTATATGAACCTGAAAACCTTTTGAGGTTCATTTCGTCCTTAAGCTAGGGGTTGAAGCTTCTGTGTCTTCCAGGCTTGGCTTTCGCTTTTTGACATTAGGGCTTACACTCTCTTGACAGTAGGGCTTTAAGGGTTTAGGGTTGCAGGTGCTGTGGAGCTCATCAGGGGTCTGAGTTTGGAGGAATTGGGGTAATGAAAATCACATCTGGCATCTCGTGGCTACAGATGACAAATCGCAACCTTGCGGCCCTTCGGGGTCCGAGGAACATTTGGCAAGGCGGTGCAGTGTTCGAGGGATTCAGAGGGCCATGCCGTTGCCCTAAACCCTTTTCCCTACAACCCTAAACTCTGCGGTCTGCTAACCTACTGGAAACGTCAGGTATCACCATTATAAACCTGCAGCTAGACTAGAGCCTGTAGATACGAGGAAGATCCCTCATCATCGAAATGGGACTTCGAAAAGCTTACGCCTGACACCCTGAGTAAGCCAAACCCGAAGCTCTTAACACCCAACCCCTAATGCAGAGGCCTTAAGCATTAGAATAGGGTTTTGGGGCCCATTGTGCTACACTTACAAAAAAGAACCTCCAACTAGTATAGGTAATTATTAAGACCCATATATTACTCCCTAAATCAGACTCTGTGTCCTAGGCACTGAAACCAGCAAACATGCACCCGCAACAAACAACCCAGCCCCAAAAAAGCCGCAGCGCACACCTTCCCCTACATTAACCCACTTTCTACAGACCTAAGCACCCTAAACCCACAATTTAAAGCCACGAATCCTAAAGCTAAATCTCCTAGATCCCTGAGCCTTACCTAGTCATGCCCTACGCCTGGTTTAGGCTATATACTGTTCGAAAGAGCAGATACTATTCATAAGACAAAGTACCCACAAAAAAAGTAGGGTACAAGTAATGTAGGGGCCTTAATAATTAGAATAAGGTTCTGGGGTGTATTATAATTATACTATAACTTTAATATGGGACCCCCGAAATAGTATTGGTAAATATTAACCCTAAGGGTCCAAGTACCCATTATTTTAGGACTTTGGGGCCTTGTTTGATACCTAAAACCATAAATAAGGACTACTTGGACCATGCGGTAAGGCCCCTATAGAGAGCCCCAAGGATTCAGAGCTTGAGCCCCATGTTCCACGCGCCTCCACAATTCGTCGGCACAGGTCGGTGGTGGGCTGGTCGTAGAGCGGAAGCACCTTCGAGGCAATGGGAGAACGTACGCGTGTAGCTGATTCGAATAAGGTTCTGGGTCGAACATCGTATAAGCAAGTAGAATGAAGAACTCTGACTACTTGGAGGCCCAGGGGACTTAGTAAGTAGGTTATAAATAGAGTTATAAGTACCCTAAATGGAGTTACCCCAATTATAACCCTACTTATAACCGACTTACTAGGTCCCCTGGGCCTCCAAGTAGTAGTATTCCTAGCTATCTTGGCCCTCATGTGGCTCCATATCCTGAACTCTGACATCTTCAGCCAGAAACTGAACAGCACAACCATCTGTCCGAGGCCCTGGAAGCCCCAACTACCTAGACAGTAGGTTAAGGTTTAGGTTTCGGAGAGTTTAGGGTTTACCGTGAGGCTTAGAAGTTTTTTCCCTTCCGTTAGGAGTAGAGTTTAGGGCTCACGGTTAGGCTTAGGGCTTACGGTTTCGGGTTTAGGCTAGGTAATGTCCTTTTAAAAGCCATAGAACAGCAGCTTGTAGGTAGCTGGGCTTCTAGGTTGTAAACCCTGAAGGCGATAAAGCCTCAAGCGCTAAAACCCTCAAACCTGTAAATCCCGAGACCCTAACCCTAAGGGACCATGTAACCATTTATCATATACTTTGGCCCTAATGTGGTCCCTGTGAAGCTACTTTTGTGGCCCAAGTAAATACTCTATGGGCACCCGGACCTTTAGGGTGATACGGCAATAACCTTACTTGGAGGTTCATGGGTAGTTATAAGTGGGGTTATACGTTACCCAATATGGGTTATAAGTATAGTTACCCTACTTATAAGCCTACTTATAACTACCCATGAACCTCCAAGTACCGCCGCGAAATGACCCTGAACCCAAAAACCCAATACCCTGGCCCTAAGCGGCATACGAAGGAAAATCCTGTATCCAAGCTCACTTGCCTGAAAAGCGCTCTACTGCTTCTAAAAGCCTATACCACCACGATGTAGCACCCATGAACCCAGTAACAAAAGAAACCCAAACATGGTAAGGGCTGAAGGGGAGAGCCAAAGACCAGGCGCGAGCCGCGTTCCGAGGTGGAAGCCGCCCGGACGGCCCAGTGGAAACGGAATCCTGGGATTCAGAGGGACCAAGTATCACGGCGGTTTCCCTCAACCCTCAGCCCTTTTTACGCAGGCTTGATTGGAGCTCGCCCGGCCAACCCTAAACCCTAAACCCTCAACCTCTCGTCCCGCAGCGCCTAAACCCTAAGCCCTAAGATCAGACCCGACAAGGCTCAGATAGCCAAGTCCGCCCAGGGCTTCCGAGTCAAAGTGGAAATGGAAAGGTCCCGAGTGCACGATGGGAGTAGAAGTGGCGCAGAAGACAGACTTGAAGCCAATGCCTGCTTGGAGGCCCAGGGGGACTTAGTAAGTAGGTTATAAGTAGAGTTATAAGTACCATAACTGGAGTTACCCCAATTAATAACCCTACTTACAACCGACTTACTAAGTCCCCTGGGCCTCCAAGTGCCATGAAACTTTCACGTGACGAATACCACTGTTTCCAAAATCCGAAGCCGGGAGTGTAAAGTGTAATATACTTGGAGGCCCAGGGGTCTTAGTAAGTCGGGATAAATAGGGTTATAATTGGGGTAACTCCAGTTATGGTACTTATGACTCTACTTATAACCTACTTACTAAGTTTCCTGGGGCTCCAAGTGGTCGACTGCAATCAGTGTTGCGTGGCGCCTCTTACTGTAATTGTACTACGACATACCCAAAGACCTACTCTGGCCCCTACACTACATTACTTATATACTACAGAACCCTAAACCCTGTCTATATGATATGTGTATATATATATATATGTATTATACTTATATACCACAGACAAGGAAATGCGCACAATTTAACTCGGGCTAGCTTTAGACGAAAAGTTTTAGAAGTCATTTAAAGGATTTTTTATACGGTTACTACAGGGTAGTATAGAGCAGGGTTCTTTTTCGAGGGTTCCTCTAAAATTCGAAAAGTTCCGGCGTACTACATTAGGTAGTTGTGTTGAGGTAGGGTTGAGTGAAGAAGGGCTTCTAAAGCTCTTACTAGTTAGGTTTCAGGGTTTGGGTTACATACTCTACTCAGTATGCTCTCACATCAACAGTATACTCATCAGGGTTTAAGATCGTGATACTTATGTCGGGGAGTATAACGTGCTTGGTAAGTACTTGGAGCGCCGGCTTCTCGCGCCTTTGGCTCCGATGTACTTCCGCTCGTCGCCAGTTTTGGTAGACTGGGCGATGTCGCAGAGTGCGCGGATGTTGAAATCACCTTCTCTGCCGTCATCTCAACTAAACATAAGCAAGCCAAGAATAAGTCGTCGTAAGCCGTACATGTTGACCCCTACGATACATCCCAAAGCATCAAGCATGCTTGAGCACTACGCATGAATTTCTACGGTCCTGCTACTGGCGCTATCGCTTTGGGAGCCACTCTCTTTTGCAGTGGGTACCCCCGAGTTTAGTACCTATCATCCGATTGTATGTATTTTTTGTAGGAAATACGGGATTCCTTTTCCAAATCCCCAAATACTAGGATCCTCATTCAGAGGACCCCGAGCGACCCTGTATCGCAGTAACCTACTACACAGGTAACCCTCTAGAACCTCTTGGGTCGGCTTCGACAAGTGTGAAGAAAGGTGTCGGCCTCTGCCAGATTCAGTTTTTGTCTTTTGCATCCTGCATTGCCAGGCCTTTTGGCGGTGGAGTGTGGGGTCTAGAGTGTAGGGTGCGTGGTCTAGCGCCGTCGGGTACGTTGGGTTCGAGGTACAAGTGTCTGGTTTGCACTTTGAAGAGGACGCCCCGAAGACACCGATGTCCAGAATCAGCGCCGACCCCACGCAGAATAACGAGGGAGCCAGGGAGCCAGAGTTAAACATCGATAAACACAATGCAAACATTAATGCCTAAGTGTTCAGTCCCCTGCCTTAGTAGACACCCAACACGCACTGCAGACGTGTGGCGGAATCCTTTTTCGTTGTGCTCGATGACAAGGAAGGCAATGGGCTCCACAGTTGGCTCGAAAGTGGTATATTGGCCGAACTTCTTCACGTCAGACCTCGGCTGTTTTGTGCAAAAAGAACCTCGCTGCGCGAGAAACCGAACAAGACGACATACGGTCACCACCAGAAAGGGACTTTCACACACTTCAGCTTGGAAGGGTGCTATGCTTATTCAACACTCCAACGTCTCTGTTCCAAATGTTGTCCCCATATGCACAGATCTGCGTGGTAGCGCTTCCCCGTAACATCTCGGGACGTTGCATCCAAAACACTCGAAGGTCACAGTGAGTGAAGGCTTGACACCCTCGGCAAAGTCGCAGTCATCTGCATTCTGCAAAAGTTCCAGCATGAAGTGGACCTGGCATGTGTTCTTTCTGACTGGCGGCATGTGCTGCTTCGAAGCTTCGTAGTGCTTGTGAGCACCCTTGAAGTGTCCAGAATGCCTCTGTGTTCTGGCTTTATGGGTGCACAGGGGCACCACGCATAGGCAGGAGAAGAGGCCGAGAATTATTCCAGATAACCTGCCTTGTTCAAAACTGTCGGCACAGTAGCTGTCTTCGCAGCATGTGACTCATATAGGGGCCTTAACAATTAGAATACGGTTTTGGGGCCCATTGTACTACAATTACAATAAGGAACCCCCAAAGCCCTCTTCTAATTATTAAGGCCCATACAATATCGAGCTGCAGCATGTCTGGATGGCTGGGGACTTGCGCGACTCGCACCCGTTCAAATTTGAGACTACGAATTGTCTTGAACAAAGGCTGTTGCTCGCACACACACACAGCAACGGAACAGGTCCGCCGAGCTTGTGTTGCGCATGGGGGACTGTGGTTTGTGTCCATACATGCACCACATGTTTATCCCGGCATCCTGGCGATGTAATGTAGGGGCCTGAAAAATTCGAATAGGATTTTGGGGCGCCATATACTCTCACTATAACAAGGAACACCCAGAACAGTATGGGTAATTGTTCAGTCCCCTATATTACTAGGGCCCCCGAAACCCTAAACCCTACACCGAGGGTTGCGGCTTGAACTTTGCTTTGCAAGGTCGGGTCTCCAAAACGGTTTAGGGTTTAGGGTTTAGGGTTTAGGGTTTAGGGTTTAGAGTTTAGGGTTTAGGGTTTAGGGCTCAGTCAACTTGCTGCAGTGTCGGCAGCCGAGACAACTTCTAAGCTACTCTTTAGGGTTTAGGGTGTAGGGTTTAGCTTTGATAACGAGAATTAGGGTTTCCGGGTATATTCTACTAGAACTATGATAAGGAGCCCCCAAAACCGTATTCTAACTACTAAGGCCCCTATATTACAGAAAGGCATGCGATAGTTGCCTGCTTTTCTTACCCTGATCTGACATGTGCTGTACCCAGGGGCCACAGGTGCTTATACAGCACCACTTTGGCCTTAAACGGGTTCCTGCATTAGGACTTCACTTAGACTCTCTCTTTCTCTCTCTACATAAAGGGACTGTCCTGGGGCCTGTGTTTTTGCTAAAAGTATGTGTGCATATACAAGCATATACGTAGCTGCATGGAGCCTTTGAGGTTAGAACATTTCTCCTCCAGGCCTCTCCGCTGTAGAGATCAGCTGCCAAGCGCTTCACGGCACCCTGCACGGTCGTTTGCAAGGACCGGTAGATGTTGTTCATGGGTGCCTTCACCCAGTTCCTGGCGCAATCAAACCAACAACGGCAGCACGTAAACCCTGAACCCCAAAACTTAGGCCCCTAAACCCTAAGCCCTGAACCCTCAACCTTAGGCCCTAAACCCTGAACCTAACCTGAATCCAAAAGCCATCGGCCTTCAGCCATGAGAAGGTCAGTCAGCAAATCTAAAAGTGATGGGAGAGCTGATCGTTTGCGGTTTAGGGTTTAGGGTTTAGGGTTTGAAGGGGTCCATAGGGCCACAGAGGGTGTAAGTGTTGTATAATATATAGCGGCCTTAACTCATACTAAATGGTTTTTTTTCGAATACAGGGGACCATAATAGAGGACCCTAAATAGTAGGATCCTTACTATACGGACCCCAATATAAGGTACCCCTAATTTCGGAAACTCCCAAATGCCAAAAAGCGCAGACAGCAGCTCCTCGTCGGGATCCCTGTGCCAACACTCCAAACCCACGGAAACGGGTTTAGGGTTTAGGGTTTAGGGGAAACCCTACAGCCACCGCCGCCTTGAACCACGCTTATTCAAAGGAGACTACAGGTGGGGAGTTTGGGGTATATAGGGCTTCTATAAGGCTTCCATACGGTATATAGACCTTCCATAAGGCTCCTACAACGGTACCTACCCACCTGAAAACGTCCTAGACTTATTTCTTGAGTTTATCCGAGCCCTTCTCATCCGTCCTGGTGAGGGAATCCACGTGCTGCAAGTTCACGCCCTTGTTCCTTGGTTTAGGGCTTTGTTCTTTCTTCTTCGTTGCATCTCGGATGGCAGGATTGGGGCTCAACACTTCAAGCATGGACCCACCACCCAAACATGATGATTTGCGTCAGCGGTTTGCAGGACTGAGCCTGCAAGTTATGTAAACGTGCCACTGCAATTTGGCACCATGCCCAGTCTATACTGAACTTAGACGCCTAGCAAAAATTATATTTTTAGCTGCTTCTTAGGGTTTATAATAACCAAACATGAAAAAAATATTTCTAAGTGCCCCTAAGCAGTCCCAAGAAGCAGCTGACAGAATGCATGAGAGCCCCGCGCACGAGGGACGTCAAGGAAACACCCCCAAGCCCAAGTTACTTGCTGGGCTTCGTGGCCCCAGAACGGTTTACTTTTTGACGATGGTAGTATTGTGCAAAGTATGAACCCTCAAGAGGTCACAGAAATAAGTCAAGGAAGAGGGGTTGTTGTGGAGGACTACAAGAAGAATCAGTTTGCATAAAGTTTTACATATGCTGTTTGTCCGGGTCAGCATCCCGTAGACCCCCATAGTCTCCCCACTGACCCTGCCTATGTTGGCCTCTGATCGTCAATGAACCAGGAGCCCCCAATGGCCTTTTAATGGAGCCCTAATGGTCCTTAATAGTGGGTATTTGGGGGGTAATCTAACCCCTAAACCCCGAAACCCCTAAACCCCTAAACCCTAAACCCTAAACCCTATAGTTGGGGGGTCTAGGAAGATTGTAGTCGGGAGACGAGTAGTAAGCTGCTGCAGGAGACACGAGTTGATCAGTTAAACCCTTACAAAATCCCATAAAGGTCTACATCTAGCTGCCTCCAAATCTGATGGGATTCATAAGGCTCAAGACTAACGTACACAAACATTCCTTAAGCACATGCGGCAGCAAAGTCTTTGACAGCTATAAGCTGCTGCAGCGTCCAGCCCGAAAATGCCGCAAGCCCTCAACCTTCAAGCCAAACGCCATACCTCCCTTGCTTCCCATCCGGACTGCAGTTATACTGTCTGCAATGCTCTACAATCTCAAACGCAATGTAAGGGCCTTAATAATTAAAATAGGGTTTTGGGGGTTCCTTATTCTAGTTCCAAACCCTTTTCGAATTATAAAAGCCCCCAAATGAACTCAACCCTTATAGTATAACCCTTAAAGGGATCCTGTTAAAGGAGCCCGATTCTTCTAATAGCCGATCCCCTCTGGGACCAGGCTCCTGGCGATTTTCTTGCACAGCTGTCCTTGCTCGGGTTGAAGGTATAGGGGTTTAGGGTTTAGGGGTTTAGGGTGTCCGATTTGGAGGTGGAGGTGGAGTGCTGTCGTCTGGTGCGACGCGAGCCGTGCTTCGGTGCGTCGGCGGGGTGAATGTTGAACAAAAACCGCAAGGAGCTAGTTGACAGTGTCTTGGGTGGTCAACTACTAATATAGGATATAGGGGCCTAACTAAGTACCAATATTACTTTGTGGTTCCCTATAATAGATATAGTATACTGGGCCCCAGAACCCTTTTCTAATTGCTAAGGCCCCTACATTAAACAGAACCCTGCGGAAAAAGCCATGCACTTTAAGCCCTGATAAGAACGCCCTACGGTTTGGACCATGTAAACGCTGCAATACCCCATGATAAAGAGTATACCATAATTCCCATAGTTTAGGGTCCTTAAGGTAATGCATGATTTAGATCATCAACAATATAGTATATAACGTTAGCTGCGGCCAAACAAACTGTAAAGGGCACCCACGGCGATCCCAGGATTGAACGCAGAACTCGGGTTCACCACGGTGAGGTACGGGCTTGATACCAAGCACCTAGCTGGGAAGGGGAGCCATCAGAGGGACCACAAAAAGGAGCATGTGACGATGCGTTTATATTAACCCACAGATGCTTGGCACACGGCCAACCTGCAACTTTCCAAACGCAAAACTGCTACCCATACAATACAGTTTAATTGAGTGGCTTTTTCACGAAGAAGGAATGACACTCTTGGCTCGCGGTTTAGAGGGTCCGTACCTATGACAGAGGTCATTAGACTCATTAGACTCTATAGTGATGCTCAGCTTCATCACGACACGAGAGACGAGGACGCGAAGATGCACACCTTGCCAACACACCATTCGAATGAAGCTGCGATTGGCCCATTCCTCGTTGCGCACAGCATCGGAGCTCTCCTCATCGTTGTCGGTGCCCTCGGAGATTACGCCTCCATCACCTCGGTCCAGCGGTCTCTCGGTGTAGTTCGGCCTTTGAACTCAGCGGTTCAGGGCTTCCCAGAAGACTCCATCCCCTCAAAGACTCATCTGCATCGACGCACCGCACCAGAAGACAACAAGTCACCATCGCGCCCCAATGCTAGGCAAAACATAGTTAACATTGCGGCCTTAACAATTAGAATTGGGCTGTTGGGTAGATTAGAGTATACTGGTATAGGGAATACGAATTCTTCTGACCACCCTACTAAGTCCCTGATCCTTCCATCCTCCGCCCTTAGCTTCAATGTCAAGACGAGTCCAAGGCAAGGCGCTGCTATCCGCGTCGCTCACTTCCTGAGCACATCTTAATCGTAGCGTCGCATGAAGTTATCGAAGATGCTGCAGTGAGGCGTAGCCAAAGTCCATTGCATGTTGACTGGACTACCGAAGCACAATGCAATAATCAAAAACCCCATTAACCGACAAGTCTAATGATTCAAATACCCCCGCTTCAAAAACAATCTGCACTCTGAATCCTAACACCCCAAGCACCCGAAAAGACCAACAACCCCATACCTTCAGCTTAGGGAAGAGCTAACTAAGTTTAGCTGCGATCTTATGACTTCTACTAGGGCCTTGTAGTTGACCCCTGGATGATACCTCTCAAAAGCACCAAGAAACCTGTGTAAGCCCCGATACAACGATCCTACTTATAAAGCCAGTCGAAAGGCCCAATCAAGCTCTCACAAAAACGCCCTGAAACCAAAACACCCTGAATCCCAAACCCCCTGAAACCCTTCAAAACCCTCAAAAACCCAAAACTCTGAACCCGCAAGCCGTTGTAAATAAAGACAAAACCCCTCCCTAAACCCCAAACCCAAAGACGCCAGCAAGCAGCCGCTTGCTCCCGCTTCTGCCGCACCTGCGGCGCTTCGGCTGGCGCGCGATCTCGGAGCACCGTTTCTTCGCCTTACCACTCGGAAAGCAGTTGCAGATTGGGGATTAAGGATTTTCATTTTCAGCACTCACACTCTGAGGGTTTGTGGTTTAGGGGCTTAAGGTTGTTAAGGCTTTTAGAGCTTATAGGCTTTACTTTCGGTCTAGGGACTCGGAAACCATTCGAACCTCAGGGATTCTTTTGAAAGGACCAGCAGGGCTCTCTAGGGTTTTGGGGATCTAGGCGTTTCTGGAATCTCGGGAAACCCAATGGGTGGAAGTTCGTATATGGTCTGCATGAGCTTAGGGTTAAGGGTTTAGTTTTGTTTTTGTTGGGTTTAGGGTTTAGTTTTGTTTCTGGGGTTTAGGGTTTATATGGTTTAGGGTACCAGTACAGCAAACCTTTACTCTAGTACACCCCCCAACAGGTTACAGGCTACCTTACTACAAGGGAACATGGTATGTTTCGTTGTAGGGCCAAGATAGCCATACTATACTGGTACCTAATGCGTTGGGGAAACATATGACGGGGTGATAAGGGTTGAACATCAATGCGTTTGTCAGGTTGTACAGCCTTGTATAGCGTGTATACGGAGGTTTTACAACGGGGATATATAGGTCTTCATAGGATAATGGAACCCCTTTAATAAACGCGGGCGGCTACTAGCCAAGCATCTACAGTGGTACGGTATCAACGTACAACTCCGTATAACAATACGGTACTCGCAAAAAACGCAGCGGATAAGCAGTTGAAGACATCGTAGACGCATCGTGTAGTCTTGTAGACCATATTAAGCTTATAGTTACTACTGTTGATGGACAAAATTCTGCATGACCCAAATATAGTATAGTACCATAAATCCCATAGTTTAGGTCTATAAGGTCATGCAGGATTTTGTCCATCAACCGTATCAGGTGATGTGGCTAGTCTGGATTCCTGGCGTTGCTGCGTGATCCTTGCTTCAGCATCGTTGAGATTTGTTTATGCTCTGTCTGGGTATCTCAGCGATCAAGTGGGAATCTTTGCTGAAGGTGTCATTAGACTTTTCGAGACCCCGCTGATTTAGAGTTACACTTGTGACACATGAGACTATGAATATATAGGGGCTATAAAGCAGGGATATTATATTTGATTATTCCGACCCGACAATAGAAACAGGTTGACCTCTGAAGACCACAGAACGTAGATCGCCCAGCTAAGGTCTGAGCTTTGACTCACTTGTTTCGCATCTCATAGCCACGGTTTCGTGCTCGGCGCATGCTGAAGGAATTGACGGAACTACAGCGAGATTTGTCCTTGTTCTTCTGCGAAGTCGCCTGGGGTGTGCACCGGGTATCTGGGTTCCCAGTCCAGCTCCCATTCCGTGATGCCGGTAAACTTCGCCAGCCACCTCTCGGGGTCGATGGGGGTCTGCGGTTTTGGGTTTCGGGATTAGGGTGCAGCCCTCCTAGGCAGCAGCAGCATGTGCTCTGCAAAAAACAAGCAGGCATCGCAGCGGCCACATGTGGGCAAAGACTGTCATAAGGTTGCAAGAACAGGCTTTAGGTTGTACTAGATCTTGTAGTTGAGGCAGTTTGCGTTCACAGTGCGGTGCCTGCCGGGCAAGGAATAATGGAACACGCTTCAATTTCGGAGACATGGCTACTGCTGCCTGCCCGGAACACGAGCCAGACTTCGATAGTTGGTACCACTAGCCACCAGAGAAGGAAAGCTTACAGCAACTGAGGGCAATCCCGTGCCTGAGGACAGCAGTCCGTTCGCCGCTTTGCCGAGCCACGGTGATCCTTGTTGAAACAGACTGTGCAGATCAGGTTTGGGGAACCCCTTTTGGCAACTGGCTTGCAACGTCACACCTGGACAGCTGTCGCTTTCCCCGGGGACAAATCGAAATCCGAAACCCTACGACCTAGACCTTAACCGCGACCCTAAAGCCGTAAATTCGTACAGGGCACAATCAACCATAATAGGCTTAATTTCTGGCAATGCATGCCTCATTCGTTGCGGCTGCAAGCTTACGTGCTCTTTGGATGTTCAATCGTTCGGGCCAAGCAGCTTGATGGCTTTGCCTTCAAGTTTTTCCCTCTGGGGTTTAGGGTTTAGGGTTCAGGTTTAGGATTTGGGGTTTAGGGTTCGGGCTGAGGGGCGTGGAGGCTCTCTGGCTCAAAGATTTTTCAGATGACATAGCAGCACACAGATAACCATGCCCATTGCAGGCCAGATTGCAAAAGCATGTGTGGGGTGAGGAAGATGTTGAAGTCTTCAACCACAAATCCCCGCAGCCAAGCCTTCAAATGACAGGGACTTGCTCGACGAACTTTTTAGCCCAAGCATCATGCTGCTCCGGGGCAAGCCCATGTGCAAGTAGGGCTTCACGAGAGCTGGGACGATGACTTCACGGAACCTGCCACAAGTAGCTCTTCGAACAGGAGGCTGGGGGTTTAGAGTTCAGGGCTTCAGGCCGTGTTTGTTCAGAGTTCGGGGGTTCATGGTTTGGCGCTCGGGCTTCTCATGGTTTGTTCAGAGGTCCTTGAACCTCGGTCGAACTATGAACAGCGATTAGCTTTCGGCTGCGGGTGCCGCTAAGTTGAACCATCGGCTGCTCGTCCACTAGGATCCCGGTTACCTACTAGGTCTCCCTTAACTGACGGGTCCTTGCAATGCAGAAGCATCTTAATCTTTGCGGGTATGTCGGCAGGTCCCTTCTTTGACGAAGCTCCCATACGATAGGTTATCTACTGGCTTATGAGTACATTAGCAGGTTTATAAGATACAGAAACCCACTGTGTAGGTAACTGCCCGCCGAGGGTAATTCAGACGGAAGGAGATGGCTCCGTATACTTTCACATAGTTATTCCAGGTATGAGCCTGCACATGAAGTCCAGTAACCACATATAACCAGAGTATGGTACCCCATGATATAGGCCTCGACCTCCAGCACGGCATTTCGCAAGCAAGTTTACAAACAAGATTGCTTCTGAGGCTGTAATCTGACCTACACCTAGCCCAGCAGTCTCGCGTGTAGGCAACGGTGCGTCTAGGGTGAGGCACATGGGGCGATGGCATCTTCGCCTACATCCTTCCATCGCAAATGCGTTTCTCCGGACATGGCAAACACGGGTATAGGGGCGTTGCCGTCGATTCGTACACAGATCTAGGGACTACCAGGATAAAGTATTACGGTGAAGCCCATAGCAGTCCCAACCTCCAAATTGCCTCGGAAATTCCTTGACGTGCAAACCACTGCATTGAAACTGCAGCTCGGGAACGCTGGGGTGCAATGAGATTGGAATCAAATGCAACGCACGTCCGATCAAGTCTGGTTTCTGTGTGGTTACTTTGCTTTCTTCGTCAAGTACCCCAAACCAAAACAATGCTACCCCACATTGGAACTGCATCGGACGGTGTAAAAAAATCTCTGAGAGGCCGCAAACTGGCCCAAGTCACTCGGTAGGCAGCGCTGCTAAGGCTTGAAGCACAAAGGTTTCCCGCATGCCGGAGGCCGTCATCTGCCTGCGCTGTCACAGAAAGGGCCGAACCTTTCTGCCAAACCTGGTGCCTTCTCATACTTGGAGGTTCCTGGGTAGTTATAAGTGGGGTTATAGGTCCCCTAATATGGGTTATAAGTATAGTTACCCTACTTATAACCCCAGTTATAACTACCCATGAACCCCCAAGCAGAGACGAAGCTGCACAGACTGGCAGGCAAGCTCGGCCACGGCCGCATACTGAATGGCAGGGGAAAAGTGCAAGTCGCAAGACTTAGTGAAATCTTTGACGAAAGCCACGACAGCGCAACGGGAATAAGCAGGCAACCCGCGGCGAGCCTCTACCTCCACGGTGTCTTGGCCGGGGTTTGCCATGGGCACGGTGGTTCTAGTTTTGCCCTGTATGCACCAAGGATCAAACTGCTGAATTAGGCACATTTCTTTCCGCCTATTCGTTGGCCCAAGCTGGTTCTAGGAAATGGCAGCCATGTTGAAGATTGTAGCTGGAGGAATACCTTTAGGATGCTTTTCCTGCGTCACCGATTTGCTGCTGCAAACTTGTTTCTCAGGATGGCACACTCGAGCCGGCATGGTGGCAAGATCAACAATCTTACCATATGATATATGCTATAAATGCTTCATGATGCTGTAACTGCTTCATGATTCTGGTGGTGTGCATTGCATTATCACACGACTGCATACGGTTGTTGCACTCATAGCATAAGACGTTCTTCTCCACGTGGTTTCGCATGATCACTCTGGGCTGGCCATGACTGTTGGAAGAATTTCCATCGACGCCCACTTTGTGTTTGACAAAGACTTGCTTCAAACTTGCATCGGCGAGACTTGCAGCATCAGGGAACCCTAAACCCTAAACCCTAAACCCTCAACCTGATCCAATCACCCTGAAAGTAAGTGGCGCCTCGAGGACTTCCAGCACCTGACCACCAGCTGCCAAACCCCGCCGCTGTTTGCTCTCTGTAACTATAGGTAGTATTATTAGGGAGACCCCTTAAAGGGTACCCCTTCTGAACCCTACTTCTGGCTCTCTTAAAAGGGACCTTATTGAGAGGGTCTTTATCCCCAAGGGTCCCCCTAATCCTAACTCCCAAACTAGAAAACACACTATCTGTCTAGCAGAATCTCTCGCATACTTGGAGGGTCATGGGACTTAGTAAGTAAGGTTATAAGTCCCTTAATTGGGGTTATATGTATAGTTACCCTAATTATAACCCTACTTACTAAGTCCCATGATCCTTTAAGTATCTGTCTAGCAGAATCTCTCGCATACTGTATATTGCTGCATAGGCTTCAGCGCGGGCAGCGGACTCTTGCACATATACGACTAGCTCGGGAAAGAAAGTGCTCGGGCAATCAAGCTACACACTAGTGGAGTCCTAGGGTCCTAGAGTGGAGTCCAGGGGGCGGCTGAAGCATCACCATGCCTTCTTGCAGCATGCGATTGCTGACACCTGTCATCATTAATGGCAAAAGACTTCGGACAGCGCCACAGCATCAGGTCTAGAGCAGCGAAGTGCAAAACAACACTGAGCCACCGGAATGGCTTTGCCGGATCTTCTCTAGAAAGCACCGTTTCGATGTCCATGCTCGGGGCCCCCCTTGCTGCTGAGACTGCAGGCTCTGCTGCTCCGTGGTTGATCTTGCCCGTCCTACGCCAACAGGATCATTCACTCACAGAGCCTCCAACTCTGTGAGGCTGAACCGGACAAGTAAGGTTTACGAAATCCCGTGAACGTCGCGCACAAGATTGCACAAGTTGGCGCCGTGTGCATACTCGCATCAGGAAGAGACATGACACGCAGCCGAAGACAAGAGCCCTCTTCAAACGTATGTCGGAGACGCTCAGGTTGAACTCTTCGGGCACCGTTAGCTTGAGAGAATGATGACCACGACCTCGGGGCCATGGGCCGACAGCAACGATTGCAAGGCTGCAAGTCTTGAGAACAACCTTCACCGTGGCTCTCTGAAAGACGCCTCAAAGCCTCATAGGCAGGCACAGTTAAATTGTAGACCGCACATGCCGGAAGTAGCAGAAGCAGAAGCTGCTGGAAGCCATAGGCCCGACATCATCTCTCACGTTGGATACAAACTCCGGAGGCTGGCACATCGGTGTCTGGGACTGCGGCGCATGTCCGGAAAGTTCAGTGCCTGCATTTAGAGTTTCCATATTAGGGTAAGTTACCCTAAACTAAACCCTCCACCCAAAGCCCTAAAGTGTTGGGATTGGATCTTTTCGAGCACCCTGTGATTGCAACCCCGACGGGTTCCAAGGCGATACGCCTGAGAGACTTGGAACTTGGCTGCAAGGACGCGATCTAACATCCCCAAACCCGATGCCGAATCTCTGAATTCCCATCCGCAAACCTCATACTCAGGGCTTGGAACATTCCAACCCCTGTTGTCTCACCCTATAAGCCACGGCTTTCCCTGCATGGAGCTACGGGCCTACAGTCTGCGCGACATGACAAAGCCTGGAGCCTAAACCTGCCAGATTCGACTTGTGAGCTCGGTGGGCTCGATGCCCCAAGGCGTAAAACATCATAGGTTCTTGTCCGAACTGGCTGAAGCGGTTTCAAGGAGGTGGAAGCTTCTGAAGATGAGGAACTCCAATCATGAATCATGACAGCAAACCGAAACCAAGTCCCTAAACCCTAAACCCTAAACCCTAAACCCTAAACCCTAACCCTGCTTGGAGCATGCGGCCTGCCGGTAGGTCCGCGAGTTGCGGCGTAGTTGCAACTTCAGCTTCCGCCGACCCTCCTGGTCAACTTCGATGGGTCAGAGGGGCACTAACCCGCACTACTTGGAGGTTCATGGGTAGTTATAAGCGGGGTTAGGGTTTAGGGTTTAGTGTTTAGGGTTTATAGGGTTCATGGGTAGTTATAAGTGGGGGTATAAGTCCCCTAATATGGGTTATAAGTATAGTTACCCTACTTATAACCCTATTTCAAACTGCCCGTGAACCTCCAAGTACCCTCCAACTTAAACCGTACTGCCCCAGCCCAAACACTGCAGCCTCCATCTCCATCTCTTCGAGGTCCGCGCTGCTCAGGCAGCTGTGCCTGCCCATCTGATGACCCGTTCCAGATTCCCAGGGTTTAGGGTTTAGGGTTTAGCGTTTAGGGTTTAGGGTCACAAGGGCTGGGGGATGCTTTTGGCTTTTGTGATTAGCGCAACACGTCCGAGTTTAAGAAGCTCGAGGATAAAGTACCTGGTTACTTCTGGGTCTTGGCTGTAGCATCTAGGCAACCACCCCGTGTATTCATGACCCAGCCAAC